AGCAGGAAGAACCCAAACTGACGCTGGAACAATGCCGGATATCACAAGGAACAAGGGTCCAGAATTTTACAGTATTTAGATGTTGGTCTGCTCAACATTACAAGGCCTGGTCTATGCACAAAGCTAGGCTGATGCAAGTCCAAATGTGTCGACCTAGTTATGGACGTGTCTACACTCAAATCTGTCTCCCATCGAAGTAAGTGGCCATTTACTGTGATGCAGTAATACCACCTCCCTGACTGGTACAGAGCCACAGTCAACCTATTTAGGTTGACACAGCACAAATGTAGACACTGCATCATTTGTGTCAACCTTAACAGTCCTCCAGCACCTGTCCCACAATGCTCTTGTCCCCATGACAGTGATCATTCCATTCGCAATATTGAACTCCACTGCCCAGGGATCAGAGATTGGAAGCCAGCCCCTCTCTTTAAACAAATTAGTTTTCACATCTTTTTCAATATTGCCCAGGGGAGGGATAGCTCAGTGGTTTGAGCATTGGCCTGCTAAACCCAGGGTTGTGAGTCAAATCCTTGAGGGGGCCACTTAGGGATCTGGGGCAACATCAGTACTTGGTCCTGCTAGTGAAGGCAGGGGGCTGGACTCGATGACCTTTCAGAGTCCCTTACAGTTCTATGAGATAGGTATATCTCCATATATTACCTTGGCAAGCACAACTAGCATCTCACCTTTGTTGTGTGCAACTGCCAAACTGACCATGCTGGTTTCACACACAAAGCTACCAGACACGCTCCTGCATGGAGAAGACAAGCAGGGGCATGCACAGGAATAAAAGTTTGGCCACCATTGGCACCGGCTTCTCCTGGGCCTGGAGGTTGCTCAACCCCCCCACTCTGGCCCAGGTCCTGCCCCCTTCCTCCAAACCTCTACCCCCATTCCACCTCTTCCCACCCCTGATCCGCCCCAGGAGCCTGACTGCAGAGGGCAGGAGGTGCTGGGAGGGAGGGCAGGAGCTGGCTGCCAGTGGATGCTAAGCACCTGCTAATTTATTTCTGTGGGGGCTCCAGCCCTGGAGTTAGCGCCACTTTTGGAGGGGCACTTTGTGCCCCTGTGGCCAGAGGAGCTGTCTCTTTCCCCTCCCCACCACAGCCCCAGGGCTGGTGGAGCTTGCTCTTCGCTGGCAGCTGGAGGAGCTGTCATCTCCTGCCCCAACGGGGGGGGGGGGGTCGGAGGAGCTCAAACTCCCTGCCCTGGCACAGGAGGAGTTCTGTGCTCACGCTGAATGGGGGGCCTCTGCCCTGATTGCCCTCCCCCCCCCCCCCGTGCCACACCCCTGAACGGCAAGAAATGTTGGCTCACCTTGAAATGGGGGGGGGGGGGGAGAGGAAGAGAAGAATCATAGAATATCAGGGTTGGAAGGGACCTCAGGAGGTCATCTAGTCCAACCCCCTGCTCAAAG